AGAGAGAGAGGGGCTGAAGTTATATTGGGGATGAAGGGTAATTTAGGAATTTTTAATTTGTTGGGTAAATACAGTACAAAAAATGGGTGTATTATACATGTTGGGTTTAAAAATAAGTGAGATGAGATACATTGGTGTCTATTGGTAAAATGGATGGGTTTTTAAATAATTGGGGGTAAAACTTTGGGTTAAAAGAGATTTTTCCCTTTTTTTAATTAAGAAGCGGGAGCTTAAACCCTTTCTTTAAATGGGCCGGATCTTTAAATTTAGCATAAATTGGATTGGTTTGCATTATGTACTGCATGTTACAGTTTGACATAGGTCAATAAATTAACATATATTTTCAGGCTACATTTTTTTTTTTTTTGAGAGAGATTTTCAATTGAATTTGATTGTAGATGATATACTTGTACTACAAGTTGGTTATAACCTTGAATTCATGAGCAAGTGTAGATGGTCTCTCTACTAGTTTATAGGTGCTTATAATCTTGAATTCATGAGCAAGTACTAATAGGAGAATAAATGAAAAAAACTATTCGTAATTAACCTTAAAATTAATTTTACCACTTAATTATTATATTGACAATGTCAGATTTGTATTACTGTGACATCATATGAAGATCTCTATCAATACGCAAAATTATGAAGTACCATTGAGAGTTAATTTTATACTCTAGCGTATACTTGCTTAAGTAAAAGATAATGCTTAATATCACTTCAGTATCCCCTAGTTTTGCCACGTCGCCACTTTTTTTTAATGTAAAAATAGGGCAAGTGCCCAATCATAGATAAGTACATAAGTGCAAAAGAGAAAGTATTACAAAAGTAGAAATCTACTTGTGATTGGAGCAACACCTCCGAGATGGCGTAAAAAACCAATCACTAGTAGATGTCTAGAAGATATATATACAAATACTAACACGATGCTGTGAATAGCTAAAAACCAAAAGAATCAAAAGAACTAGGAACCGCCGCTCAAGGATTCTCGTTGTTGTCCTCGCTGGATTCGATGATGTCCACAAGCTCAGATGAAGGAATGATGTTCTTTAGCTTGATTGCCTTCTTGGAAGAAGAAGCACCTGCCCAGAAAAGAATAAAATAAGCTGCATTGGAGATGATTTGTTGAGAAGTGGTGATGGAGTTTGGGAAGATGCGATCATTGTGAGCTTTCCAAAGGATCCAACAGACAGTTTGGAAACATATGCCCCAGAGAAGACGCACAGAAGCATGGACGAAGCTGTCAGAGCATAAAGCTAAGCACATAGGAATGTCAGGAGGAATGGCACTAATGTCAATCCTTAGCAAGAGCTGAGGTCAAACTTGGCTGGCGAGATTACATGAGAGGAACAGATGGTTATGAGATTTTTTCGCATTACAAAATACACAAGAAGTGTCATGTAACCAACCATGGGAGGCTAATATGTCCTTAGTCTTCAATCTATTCATACTTAGTAACCAGAAAAAGAACTGAACTTTGCTAGGCAGTAAGCTGCTCCAAACTATGGAAGAGTGAGGATATCAGGTTCCCCCATCAGCCAAGAAAGAGTATAAGGATTTAACTAAGAAAGACTTAGATATAGTGAGAGACCAAGAAGGCTTGTCGACAGAAGAGGAGGGAGAGAGGTTGTTGTCGATCAGGAGCTGGTTAAGGGCTTGAACTTGCCTTCTCGCAGTCTCATGAGTAGGCCTCCTATTGATAAGTCTCCAAGACCATCCCACCCTCCAATATTTGGTTCACTCTCTCTGTCTGCCCATCCGTCTGCGGGTGAAACACACTAGAATAAGATAATCTGCTACCGAAAGAGTTCTGGAAGCTTCTCTAAAAATATGAAGTGAAAACCGAGCCTCGATCTAACACAATCGTCTCTGGAACTCCATGTAATCTCATGATCTCCTGAATAAATATCCGTGCATACATCTCTGCCGTGTATGTAGTCTTTACTGGTATGAAATGTGCTGACTTTTTTAACCGATCTACTACCACCCAAACTGAATTATTCCCCTTCTTCGATCTCGGCAATCCTACAATGAAGTCCATAGAAATATTTATCCACTTTCACTCCGGAATGGGTAAAGACTGTAGGGTTCCTGCCTTCTCTTGCTGGCAGGTAAAGCACTTAGCTACATATTTTGCAATCTCTCTACGCATGTCGCTCCACCAAAAATGTCTCTTCAGATCCTTGTACATCTTTGTTGTGCCTGGATGCACTGTATACCTGGTACGATGCGCTTCGTCGAATAAATCCTTCTTCAGCTGAGCATTAGCTGGCATTACTAATCGGCCCTTCATCCGAAGTCCTCCATCTGCTCCAACGGTCCAATCAGTCTTTGGGTCTTTGGAAATCTCCCCCTTTCGGGTTTGAATCCAAGAGTCGTCCAACTGAGTTCTGACCACTCTGTCACTCCAAGATGGTTGTACGGATAAAGCTCCCAAAAATACGCTGCTCCCGCTAATCTCCGGTCTAAAGTCGAACTGGCTAAGTGTGTGAAGATCTCGATATAACGAGCATCTCAAAGCTATAATCCTGTGACAACGCTTCCTACTCAATGCATCTACTATGACATTCGTCTTCCCCGGGTGATACTGAATCGCGAACTCATAATCCTTAATGAACTCAACCCATCATCATTGTCTCTGGTTTAGTTTCTTCTGAGAGAAGAGGT